CAGCTCAGTAATTCATTGTTTTCTTTCCCTGGTCTTTAGAAATCATGAAGAGAAAGCACATAATATGTTTGTAATTCAAGTACCACTCTCTAGTCCTACTCCTTTTAGCAAGATTGACAAGAAAACTGCTATTTAGATCATGGAGGAGCTCTCAAATTCATTGAAGGTGCCATGCAGGGATACTCCCTGCGTTTACTCAGCAGCACTTTTTGCTTCTGAGCATCAAAATGAATCCTTAGCAGAAAAGAATGACATTTGTCTGTGATAAATGCGAACCTGAAATCTTTCAGTGTTATATCTAGAACTGGGAGGTAACTTTATTCACTGTACAGACCACGTTTAGTTAATTTAAATCTTTCACAGCTCTTTTAGGATGTGACATTTTAGGTTTCCTATATAGGTCATCAGTATAGCTTATAGATGATGAGAAAGACTGAAGGCTCTGATTTACAGTGTGAATTTGCTCGCTGCTACACTACTATGGTATCTGACATTACAAGGCAAAGAAGTTAAACACTTGTAAGGAAAGATTGCTTATAGAAGTGAAGAAAACACTGGCAGACATTTCCTTTCCCTGCACGTGGGTGTGTCTGACAGATGCACATTTGCCATATTCATATCCATCAAGATGATTAATTGCAGTGCTTTGATGAATCCTAGTGTGACCAGAGATAATAAGTCTTTGTAAATATTACCAGGTTTCGGGTGGGGTTTTTGTTATTATTGGGCTAACCATATTAAGAGTTCACATTAAAGCTGCAGTTCCTGGAATTTGGTGATTTAATTACTTTATATTTTCTCAAACCATGTACCTGGCATTTGTTATTATTGTAGAAATGGGAGTGAGAAGGATGAGGGGTATCTGAGAATGGGACAGAAATGTGAATGTGAGCTTTTATGAAGGAAATGAGGGGGAACTTCAGAGGATTGATTGAAAATGGATGAATTAGAACTGATAGATTTGTTGACTCTTGGAGGAAGTTAGAAGCTGAATTGATGCAATAAAGGAATCTGACCAGGTATTTAATTATTAGTCTGCTGACATAAAATCTCTGGTTTTCTAGGCCTATAACTCTAATAACACAAACAAAAATAAATGTAGGTTCAATTATTCAGCCTCTAAAGCCACATTAGATTAAATGGGTTATTCTGTAAGTGTTCTGTTTCAGCAGACACCCCCGAGGTATGTGTTAATTGAATCTATCTTGCTCCTTTCATGTGGATCATTGACGGAGTAGGTGATAGGAAATGGTGCATTAAGGAATACATCTTGTCCGTTTATAGTGACAATATCTGTAAACAGTAATGCATCCGTACAGAAATGGGCAGTATTAATAATTCATGAAGCATTTTCAGCCTTCTAACTCTAGAATAAACTTGATGGCTGATCACAATCTTGTTTGCCCAAGGAAATGGTAAATCCCCCATTCCTGGCAGTGTTCAAGGCCAGGTTGGACAGGGCTTGGAGCAAGCTGGTCTAGTGGAAGTTGTCCCTGTCCTTGGCAGGGGGTTGGAACTTTATGATCTTTCAGGTCCTTTCCAACCCAAACCATTCTGTGATTCTATGGTAAGATGAGGCCTTACACAGCCAGAGAACTGCCTACAAAATAGCCCATTTAGCACTATCATTAATTTGGGAGTGTCATTTTTATGGTCAACAGACACTGATCTCAGGCTGATTCTCTTCTCTGTTATGCATTCTGATTCCTCACTTGCAGGGCTGCTGATTCATGTGCAGCTGTGCAGTAACTTGGACCACCCCTTAGACTGAGTCCCCTGAAAAGCGCTTCTCTTAAGGAGGGCTTATGTTGCAGCTGAATCAGTAAGCCAGCCAGTGTCATAGACACACAACTGCATAAGTCAACAGAAAGGTGAGGGCAAGAATGGTTGATTAAAGGTAATGAAGACTTCATGGTATTTTGTTGAGGGGGGACTTTCGGATACTTGCTCTGCTTGTCCCATAGTAACAACAGCAAACCATCAGAAGACAGGGATTTAGAGAAATTCCAAGATTCAGGTTTGAATCAGCTCACCAATTTGCCCACTAATGCTTTATTGCATGTAAAACATCCTCAGTGTCTCTTTGCTACAACTCAAAAGTAGGCTCCTGTGATGTGTATCATGTCACTAAGAACATGCAGGGTTGTAGACTCCTGTGACAGATGTTGGCACAGACAGCCAGCCTGTCCATCTGAAACACTTTAAAGGATCTGGGCTTTAAGGCTTAATTGTATTACTATGTTATAGTAAAGCCTTTGTGCAAAGCTGTCACCTCCAGTGGACTGTAGGAGTTCAAACGGATTTGAATGACTACAAAGGTTTAAGGTTGGAACAGCTGCTGTGAAGTTGGGTGATGTCACACTGCGCAGTTTGAATCTGCAACCCTGACTTGTGATTAGAACATTTTTCCTACTAAAAATCACACTGAGCCAAGTAAGAGAACAAAAAATTCCTCTGTCGTTCCTGGGGAAGTTTGTTGAGGTCCCTCAGTGATTCCAAAGTACAAATTCCACTGAGAGCCACATCTGAGCTTTCAGAAATCTCTTAAAGGTTTGTACTATTTAAGCTTTTCAGGGAAGCTGTGAGTGCCTCACTAAAGAACTGCTGGTCTGTTATAGAGAAACTATTTCATCAAGAGTGAAGACTGAGACAATCGAGTAGCAGTCCCTTTTCACCCCCGTTGTAGTGTGACTACTGACATTTAATAAAGTTAAACTCTCACCATTATTGTGCTGGTGACTGTTTCAGCTGAAGCACCAGTTGCTTCTAAAACTGGAGAACTAAATAATCTTATCCTAATCTGATCCCTCTGGCTTTTTACATACCCCGTTACCCTCTGCACATTGCTGGGATCTTCTAGTAGAAATAGGTATCTACTGAAGTTACAGAACTTTTATATAGGAAGAAATATTCTGCTTTATATTTTAATCTTTAATCTACCTTGTTGTTGAACTTTAGTTGTCAGCAAAACTTAAGCTGCCTTGCTGTTGACTTGAAGATCTGTGCCTTTGCAAAAAGGCAACTGTGCTAACGGCTTAGCACGTCTTACAAACTAACACTTAACTTTCCCCTTCTTTGCTTGCAGCAGCAATGTCAGTAATTGCAGTCTGGTAAAGCTGCATGGAAAATTATATTCAGTGCAGCCATTTGGAAAAGATCCATTTCCTTGCAAAACAGATCATATAGCTCTACATATCCAGGCAGAAAGTACTGCTCTAGAACGATCCGTCACAGCTCCAAGGAAAGGTTTTGGTGTGGTCATAGACTCATATTGATTAAATTCTTTTCTAACACTTGATTTACCCAAGGCTTTTTCCCCAGTGGTGATTTTCAGTGGTAGCACTGGTCTCTGTGTGTGTGTGTGAGTACTTTGGGGAGGTTTGTTAGTAATATATAAACCCATCAACTTTAGTTTTGCTGTGATATTGCTTACGTGGAATTTGCCTTTGCAGAAATTGGTACAAACTACTGCTATGTGAACTTTGTGGGGTTGGATCCAAGAGCTTTCTTTTCAGTCTGGGATTTGGAAGAATCACTGCCATCTTTAAAGTAATCCTGTGGTTTCCAGCTCTCTCAGAAGCCAAGGGTATCTCAGAGCATTTGGGTAAGAGGTATAAAATTCACAAATCAGTCATAAACTGAAACTGGTGCCCAGCAGTCATTTACAAGTGATTCTTGAATATTTATTTTGTTTTAGTGGGCTCTGAGTTGTCTCAGTAAAATATAAATAACCTCAAGATGGACACAAATAGGGGCTTCCTATAAGAAGAATATTCTTGTAAGGAATCCTGCATTATTTGGAGCATTTTAATTCTGTTCCAGACGTGTTTCACTATAACTGATTCACAGGTTGTGAAGAGAAAGCAATGCACAAGCAGCAGCTGTAGCTCTCACTATTTTTGTTGCTCTCATTAAAGTGTGTACTGGCGTCAACTACAGATGTGATGATATTGCCTAGGGAATCAAGGCAGGAGAAATAAATGAGCCAATCCATTGTGGAAAAAATCCCAGATCCATTGTAAAGAGACCTCACAGATCCATAAGTATTCAGTCCAAGTGAGGAACTGAGGCTTAAACCTCAGGAGTGGCCAGAGCTTTAAATAGTGAAGTGAAAAGGTCATGTCAAAGTGGCTTGTAGCCAGTATCAGTTATCCTGGCTTTTCAATTCACTGTCAGTCACAAAGAGGGAATACACACATGCTGGAAGAAGGTAGTTGTTGCAGATTAAAGCCCCATGTGAAATGAAAGAGCTATCAAAATTCTTTACAGCTGCTTGGCATGAGCTCTGATAACACAAAGTTATCTTTTATTATTACTTTTAAATGCAGCCATCTCCCACAGCCTAAACAAAAATCCCACAAGACAATAGGGCCAGCCTCTGAGTACAGTGTGTTTAATTGCTGTGCACAGCTGGAGCTGGCAGGTGAAAAGTACAGGCATGATTGCTTGCTCAAGTAGAAAGGTTTAGATTTCTTCTCCTTTTTTGCTGTTTGACTTCATCTCATCTTTTAGCTGCAGACAGGATTTTGTTATTTTGCTGTATTTTAGGTCTTTTTAACTATTTTATGTACAGAGAATCAGTTTTTCTTTTGCATATCTCATTGGCAAGAATACAAAAGGCACAATTCCCTAGTGCTGGGGTCACAGTGTGCCAGACTGATCAACATTCAAGCTTAAAACAGAATACTCATGAAATGTATCTCTTGTTAAACTCACACCTAACATTTTTGACTCGTATAAAGCCAACCCTGTGATGACAGTGTTAAGACAGATCTGTGCACATGAGCAGAGATCCATAGTTCATTCTCTTCAGGGTTATTGTGCTTAAAGAACTGAGGAGTTTACACACAAGGAAGAATACAAGATGCTTTCTTAGTCATATTTTCTCTCTTGCCAGTCATCAAGTAGTATACAGTAATATTATTTGTTACGTTTAAATCAACAACACTGTTTTGCTCAGGTATTGATTCTTCCGTGCTCTGTGTTTTATGCTGGTTCAGGTCCTGTTGTTCCTGTTTGAAGTCAATAGGTGCTCTTAGTGCACAAAAAATGCAGCCTGGAATGTTATGCAATCAAATTGGGCTTCCACCTGCCCAGTCTTCAAGGAAACATCAGCAGCTGGTGATGGGAAGAGGCCTCATTAGTAAGAGGTAATTACTTTTCCTTTGATGCTTTTCAGTGCATTTGCTAGCACATTACAGTCAGCATGATCCCAAGATTCAATTGCTGAGATAGCTGCATATATACAAGATGATGCTAGCAGTTGTGACAGACAACATTCTAGTTCAGATTTGAAATGTTTGGTATTTATAAAGATGCTGTTTCCTTTGAATAGCTTTGGACTAGGTGTTATACACACATGCATGCATAAAGACACATATTTTCTTACATCCATTCATTAAAGTATGATTGATGTTGAAACACTCAGAACATTTACTTTCCTGGATTTTCTTTTTGCAAAACCTCAGGCATGATCTTATTGACTTTTGCCTTTGATTTAGATGAAGGGGAAGAAAAATATTGTAATGTTATTGTGTTTTATGTGCCTCTACAGTCAAATACAGCTGAAAGCACGTTCCATGCTGTTTGCCTGAGTGTGTACCGTGCCCTGTGCAGAAACTTGAAGTCAGTGTTGCCTGGGTCTAAATTAATTCAGGCTGACAGATGCTGTCATGCATTCAGTGTAGAGGGAGTTCACTGAGATTTTGAAGTTTTAAGTTACCAAATACTGAAACACAACTACTATTACAGTATTAACAACTGGTTTTAAGTGATAGAAAGCCCTAGTGTTTGATCAAGCATGTAAATGCAAGATGTTCTCCCAACAATTAACATAAAGGACCCAGAAGAAAAACCTCCCAAAGAGAATTTTAAAGGAAAATCATTGTTTCTAAAAATGACAATGTCAACTGGACTCAGTTTTTCCACTTGAATTTCTGCCAAAATTATTCCAATTTTTGTCATTTCCCTTTTCTTCTGTATATTTTTGAATCGGACAGCTGTGGAATTTCCTGTTTTGTTTTTGTTTTGCTGCTGTGACCAAGGTCATTGTAGAAAACCAAAGTTTCAGTAAAACTTGAACAAAACCATGACTTTCCCATGTCTGCTCTTTCTCTGACCTACTGTTTCCTTTTGTGGTGCTCTAGTCTTTTCCAGAGTCTGCGTTTTCACTCATCCTCATATTTCTTCTCCTCTACCTTCAGTTTGGGCACTCCTGATTTTGCTCTTTCATCTGTTTTCCTCTTCAGTTTTCCTTTTTTGTTCTTTTCTTTTATTGCTCAATCTTAGTTTTATCTCATTCCATCTCTAATCCCTTTTGCCTCCTCTGTCCGCATACCTCCATGGCCACAGTCATAAACTCAGGATGATCTGATTCCCAAATGCCAGTAGCTGGACATGCCTGGGGAGGGCTTCACCGTGTGGTCTGACACTGCCCCTGTGCTTTTTTGCCTGTCCCTGCATATGGTGGATACCAGGAGGAGCCACAAGTTATCCCCCTGTCCCAGGGACATATCCCTGACCTGGTGAGACAGGGGGAATGAAGGGATGATAACTGGAGAGGGAGGCTCAGTGTTGCTGAGTGAATTCCCCTCCTCTCCACATAAGGCAAGCAGCACCAGGTCTTTACCTTTTCTTGGGGGCTGCAGTGTCCCAGCCCCATTTCCTGCCTGCAGAGGAGCCATCCTTGTCCTGCTAGTAGCTGCAAAACCCTGGAGCTGGCAGCAATTGGATCTTCTTGTCCACAGTGAGACTTGTTTCTGCCTGCAGGGAGCAATCCCCATTGCAGTGAGGGATGTATATCTTTAATTCACTGCTGTCCTTATCTGAAGAGATCCATCAAAGACAGACTGTGTACTTTCCACGTGCTTTGGATTGTCCCTTGGTGAGTACCCATGCACAGGAATTTGATTAAAGCTGCGTGATTTTTCATTCTCTGAACATTTGCAGCTATAACTGATAGAGCTGTAACAGAAATTCCTGGGTGAGAAAATGTGAAAGTAGTTCAGAGTGGTTTCATTTTTGAGTTGTGCATGTTCATAGATAAATTTCAGATTAAAAAAAAAAAAAACAAAAAACCCACACTTTTTCTATGGCCTTTAAGGTTTGTTTCCCCTGACACTTTTCCATAACTATTACTTCTGTTGCTGTCTCTACCATTTCACCAATCTGTAATTTACCAAGCCTGCAATGAGCAATTGTGTTTACTGTAGGAGTTTACACAGAACTTTGCTACCTTCAGTCTGCTCCAAAGGAGGGACAGGACAATCAAGCTGTTGCATAGCTCAGTGGTAAGCAGAGACCCCTGTCTGGGAGGGTGCTGTGGGTTCAGGCTGCAGCTGTGCTGCACAGTTAATCTTCAGGAAGGTAAGACTTGTGATTGCATTGGTAGGAAGAGCTGCAGTGGGGGTGAGGAATGCTTTTTAGGTCTGATGTGTGGTAGAATGCTTGAAAAGTAAGAATATGCCCATATGTCTTTGTTTTCTTGGCACCTGTTTTTCTCTGTTGTTTTCTTCCTCATTCCACAGGACCTTCCATGAAAGATGCAGTCGTGGGAGGAACGGGTGGGTTAGAACTAGTTTTAGTTGCACCTGACCTCCAGCTCTTCCTGCAGATACATTACTCCTGCTCTCAGTGCTCAGCTTTGTAGCATCTGAACTGCAGAGTGATAGTGTATTTTCTTCCTCAGTGGCAACAGGGCCAGGCTTAGAATATCCCTGGTGAAATCTGAAAGCAAATGGGGATATCTTCATGTGGTTTCATGAGGAGATGATTCCAACAATCATTACCTGAATTTACTTGTGAACTTAGGACAGATAAGACAAACTTTCACTTACAACTCTACCCCCAGTAGAAAGGTCCTGGCCTTAGAGCAAGTATGTGACATACAGTGAAGATGATCTAGGGAATTGGATCTGCTAGGGAAGGGGGATCTGCTCTTTTGAGTGGAATGACTTGATGCTACTGAGGAAGTGCTTACAAATATCTGTGTACATCAGCCCTTTTTCAACAGATTTTGAAATTGCCTTCCATTATGTGCTCTGAAATCTGCTGCTTTTCTCCATCACTACAATAAAAATGATGTTCATGGTAAGTGCTGAAAAGTGTATTATTAGTTCTCTTCCTCCTCCATGGAAATTATTGGGCTTTTACCCTCATCAGTGGGATATAAGAGCACTGTATGAGAATAATAATGGCTTATTTATTCATCCTTAAAATATAGCCCTTTATGTTTGTTTTTAAGAGCTTGTTCAGAAAATAAGCAGAGCATCTGGAGAAAATACATTTGCCAGCAACAGCTTAAATGGGTGTTTGTCAACCACTCTTAAAGCAACGTTTGGGAGGAGCAAACCTTGCAATGTTTTTGACTCATTACTAACTGTTAGGCAGGCTTTATTCAGGTGAAGAAAGATGTGACCTTGGACATTTACACCAATTAGTAGTATCCACCCTGTATCATCTGGTTTAGTTATTCTCAAGTCTTCTAGCCTTAAAACTGCTGACAAGTATATATATTGGTTGTTTTCTTTGGACCTAAAAAGCGTATGTATACACTGAGGACAAATGCAATTTAAGGTCCTGCCTGCTTCATGACAAGGATGTGCCCAGCTCTTATTTGTTAGCCTTCCATGCAAAACTATGTGAACTCTCTTTTGCCTGCAGTACCTCCCATTTCTCAGCATTGTGGTCACATACAAGACATGCTGGTGACTGCTGGTCTCAAGCAAATGCTTCTTTGATGCACCATGACATCTATTCCAGAATGCTGGGTGGTGATGGGAGAATGCAGGCCTTGAAATGTCCATCTTTAAGAGATTTATTCTCATCAGGGACGGCTTTCTTTGCTCTCTGTCTTATCTTTTTAATTTGGCAAGGATAATGCAAACACTGCTCATCATAGCTTGCAATATGTATCTTCTTGTCACAAGCAGATGTTGCTGCAGAATAGGATAATGGGTTGATGCTGGTCTGATTGCTCTACTGAGTTGTCAAGTCACAAACAAGCTATTTAATCTTTCTGCTTTTGAATTGCCCTTCAGTCCCCTGGACCATCCTAGCAAATTCTTCCCTCTCCCCCACAGCAGCTCTGGCATAGAGGGATGGGCTGTCCCACACAGATTTCTTCTGCCTATGGTGCTGCATCCTGGAGTGTCAGGGATGCTGGGCTCCAGCTCTCTGCCATACAGCTCAATGCCTGGCAATAAGTCCATTGTGTTGAAATGCCACAAATTACAAGTGTTGCTCTGGTTTAGGCTGCATGAACGTTGTTATTTTGTTTCTAGATAGCATAATGAAGTAAGGTGTATTTGCTCTCTAACTGAGTGCTAGGGTAGGCTATGAGGATATCTATACAGCAACAGGGATTCCCTCTTTGTGCCCCATCCCTGGCAGTGTTCAAGGTCAGGTTGGATGCAGCTTGGAGCAAGCTGCTCTAGTGGAATGTGTCCCTACCCGTGGCAGGGGGTTGGAACTGGACAAGCTTTAAGGTCCCTTCCAACCCAAACCATGCCATGATTCTATGACATGTGGCTGTGGAAGCAGACCAGTCTTCTCTTAATTGTCTCTGGCAGAGGTTTTTGCAGGTGAGGAGTCACCACAACAGCCTGGGAGCATTTACCTGGCCCTGTTTAACTGAAGTCATGGTCCAACAACTCCTCCATAATTCATTCTCACTGGGTTGATCCCAAGCCCCAAAACATCAGCACCATTTCCCATAGCCTCAGTGTGTTTTGTACTGGGCTTCTGATAGGAGTGAGTTTGGAGAAGCTGCCATCCCCACTGCTCTCCTTCCTGAACAAGGGCAGCAGTTTGCCAGCATGCCCTTTTGGGTTTGTTTGGTGATAGCCATTGCTCAGACTCCCTTTGTCTGTGGCTGCTTGGCAGGCAGTGTAATTTATCCTAGTTTAATGTGAGGTATTAAGCCTTTAGTGCAAACCTGACTGTTCCCTTTTAGATGGGACCAATGTTCTGTAAGAAGAACAGCAACAAAGTAAAGATCATTGTATATGTTGTCCTTTCTGCTGTGTTTTAACTGAACACTATCTGCTGAAAGGCTGAAGCCGCTTTGGAGGGACATCATTCTCCTCTTGTCACTGAAGCACTTCTGGAAAACATTAGTTTCTGTTTTAAAGCAGAGAGATGCATTTGGATG